TATCCTCTCCTCTATCCCTCTTCTATCCGCCTCCCACTCTCTCCCTATTTATTTCAAAACCCCCTTCCCCTCCCCCTTTTCTGATGAAGGGTCTAGGTCCGAAACGTCAGCCTCTCTGCTCCTATGATGCTGCTTGGCCTGCTGTGTTCATCCAGCCCTGCACCTTGTTGTCTCGGATTCTCCAGCATCTGCAGTTCCTACTATGTCTGCAGACACATCTTTTGTTTATTTATTTGTCCCTTTGACTTTATGCCATGAATTATTTTTGTCATTTAATCTCCCTCCACCCTATCACAGAACTTCCCTTTTATTCTTCTTTCCACCTGTTTCTAATTTCCTTTCATTTGCTCAAAACCATTTTGAACTTTTTTTTTCAGTTATGATGAAAAGCTTTAGATCTGAAATGTTAACTCTGTGGTTTCTCTCTCCAAAGGTGCCCACAAGCCTTTTCTATTTATATTTATTTTTAATTATGGACTAGGCATCATAGCCTTTGGAGGAAAGGAAATGAGGTGCATGGAGTTGACAACAAGGGGAGGTGACAGCCTAGTGGTATTATTGTTGGGCTGTTAATCCAGCAACCCAGATAACATTCTGGGGACCTGGGTTCAAATCCTGTCACAGCAGATGGTGGAATTCGAATTCAATAAATATCTGGAACTAAGTTTAATGATGACCATGAATCCATTGTCAATTTTTGGGGGGGGGGGAGAAACCCATCTGGTTCACTAATCCCTTTCAGGGAAGGAAACTGCCATCCTTACCTGGTCTGGCCTATGTGTGACTCCAGACCCACAGCAATATGGTTGACTCTGAACTGCCCTCTGGGCAAAAAGGGATGTGCAATGAATGCTGCCTAGCAGTGACACCCTCATCCCGTGAATGAATAAAAAAAAACCCTCCCTATTAAATGCCAAATAACAAATCACTATCTCTCCTTACATGTATTTTCTCACTATCATAGATGGCCCAACAACTTGCTACTGAATGTAACATTATCATGCTAGTTTGGGATCTTGACCACACCCATAATCCAATGTTCTTCTCTATTGTTCTATGCAACTTTTAAAAATTAATGAGGTGCTTGTATTTGCCTATACATTACTGATATATGCTTGCATTTTTCATTCTCAACATCTGCATAAATTACTTCAACCTGATACGCTCCCAACAAAGTCCAAGGATGGAATCTTTCCCAGCCCTATTCGTGAATATGGTGAGACTGGAAAAATGAGGCTCTCAAAGTTGAGAAAATAATGTCCAACTCTGCAATCACATATTGAATAGCAAGATAAAAGTGGAGCAGCAAGAGGCCTACTTGTGTGCACTGCATACCATTAGTACCCAATCTTGCCACATTAGCATACAGTTTCCTTTCCTCAAGTATGACATCAACAATTCCTGACATGGAGGTCAAAACGTCTGGTGGTTGCAGGTCGCTGCTTGCACCTCTGAGCGTCCACCTTGGATAGTAGCCACCAACATCTATTGCTAGCAACTGCCTACAGCCCCCTCCCTGTTCATGAAGGTTAGCATCATATATGTTTGTGTTTTACCATATTATCAATGACATGTCCTCAAGTAACTTAGATTAGTTCTCAACTTCAATGTTGCACTTTGGAGTGCACCAGCAATTTTCATTATAATACTGCTGCCAGAGCACCTTGCATGCAGGGATAAGGATTGGACCAGGGTTTATCTTAGGAGTCCTTGTTTGCATTCTTAGTGCTAATTCATTTCTGCCTCGCCTTGCTTCATTCAGAACTTAAAGATTCACAGTATTTCTGCCTTGCATTGTTGTTTAATGAAGACAGAAAGCCAGGCAACTTGTCATGTTTGTCATTTGTGATTAGGCAAGGAGGTGGCCATATTGCTGAATGGCACTGTGCTATGTCAATGTTAAACCTACAGCATGTGCCAGCAGATTCCACCATAAACACACCATGTGTTTCAACCAAATGGCTGTGTCTCCAAGTATGACAGGTGTAGTCCTCAGAAATGTCTCATCAGTCTGGGGATTGACCACAATCATTCAAGGCCAGCTTCCAGGGGCTTGGACACAGTCAGTTGACCATTTTATGCTGTCAAGCCAGGGGTTCTTATCATTGCAGTCCAGGGAATGGGTCATGGTCAGTCCTGCAGGTCCAATGCAACCAGTCAGATTTATGGTAAGTCAGGCACAGAAATTAGTCACTTATGGAGGAGGTAATGGTCTAGTAGTAGTATGGTAGAGCTGTACGTTCAGCATGGAAACAGACCCTTCTGTCCAACCCGTCCATGCCGACCAGATATCCTGAGTAAATCTGGTCCCATTTACCAGCATTGGCCCATATCCCTCTAAACGCTTCCTATTCATCGTCCCTTCCAGATGCCGTTTAAATGTTGTAATTGTACCAACCTCCACCACTTTCACACAGAGGGTGGTGTGTGTATGGAATGAGCCGCCAGAGGAAAAGTTCGCTGGACTATTAATCCAGAGCCTTAGGTAACATTTGTGGGGACCTGGGTTTGAATCCAGTCATGGCACATGGTGGAATTTGAATCCAATAAAAATCTGGAATTAAGGGTCTAATGACGATCCATTGATGATTTTTTGGAAAAACTCAGCTGGTTCATTAATAGCCTTTAGGGAAAGAAATTGTCATCCGTACCTGTTCTGGTGTATATGTGACTCCAGACCCACAGCAATGTGGCTGACTCTTAAACTGCCCTGTGGGTAATTAGGGACAGGCAATAAATGCTGGCCTAGCTGGTGGCAGCTTCATCCCGTGAATGAATAAAAAAAAAAAGAAAAAGAAATATCAGTGAAAAAAGAAGTCCAAGTTGGTCAGGGCTGGACCAAGGTCAATTTTGGGGTGTCTGTTCAACGAATGTGAAAAGGGGTTATTGGGAGCCAATGCTGTAGGAGGGAAGCTGGGAAAGATAACTGTGGGGTTATGATCCAGCATTCTGGGGTGTAGATGGACAATAATTCTAAAGGGGGAAATTCAACAGATAAATGTGGGAAACAAAAGCTTACAGGAAGGCATAGTTTACTGTGGGAGGAGTAGAGGGTTCATTGACATCACTTCCACCTTTACTTCAGCAGGGGGCATGACTGAGCTGGCACACTGGAGGGGTCAACTGAGGGGGTCAACGTGGTATGCAAGGAAGAAAAGGACATGGAGATTAGGGGTCTATTGATTACCAGGCTGAGCCTGTGATTCACTGTGCCAAGTGTGATCAGCATTGCCTTCCAACCTTATTGAAATCATAAATACAGTCGAAATGGAAAATTGTTGCAAACAGTCCCAAAGTTGTACAGTAAGCTTTTTCCCTGTCTGGACATACATCACGCAAGTGGAGGATGAAAGGCCTTCCAAAAGGCAATTGTATTAATCATTAACTTAGATACTACAGGTCAAAGCCATCTGTAATGATAGTAACCTGCATGTGAAATATATGTAGTGTCGAATTGTGTGGGACCATATTATTGGGCATTACAGATTGATAAACAGAGCAGGAGAGAGCAATTGCCATTTGCTTCAAATAGAATATGCAACATAATCCTAGCATTGAACTTGCAAAGAGAGGATGCAGTCTTGAGAAAGAAGGGAGGTCATTGAGCAGAAGGAACGTAATCTTCAGTACGATAAGAGCACTGCAGCATCAGATGTAACAACATTTAATTAAGACCTGGTTCTAATAGATCTGTACTATGTACAATGATCATTCATTGACTCTAAATTTGTCACTGCTCGAAAAGCAAGTGGTTCTCCCTTTATTCCCATATGCAAATACAGCTTTTTCTTGTAATTTTTCTTTCATTTTACTGTTTTTGAATAACCATTTCAACCATTTGAAGGGATCCCGTATGCAGTGCGCCCACACTGAACAATGAGGTGATGTAATGCTACACTGGATGCTAATGAAAGAAGACAGTACTTTAGATGGTATGGCAATAAGGATGGTTAACCTGTGTAGCTGGATTCTTCTTTAACATAGCAATACATTCATGCATGTGAGCTTGTATTTGCAGTGTCACCCAAACCACCACAATACACTCAGAAGCATTTGGTTTTCAATACCTCTCATTATGTGTACTGTGGCAGCTCCTGGCTGGAGAAGTTAACTTGATGCACAGCTGCCAGAAATCCTACAAAGATGTTGGAAGAGATTAGCATTTCTGCCATTGGTAAATGCATGATAACACAAGTGGGACAGTATAGAGGCACGGTGCATGAATAATGTGCTGCAGAGAATTGCATACAAAAACTCCCTAAAAGTTCATGGAGGGAAACGCTCCATGAAAAACTTCCCAAAATAGACATTTAGTTGATTTCTGGAAAAATTCAGTCCTACCTTTTTCAAACGGACACTGCTTAGAATAAATTACAAGTGTATAATGCATCGGTTTTAAACACTAGTGTGTACGCTGATATGGACCTCAAAATCCAGGATAAACTGGGAGTTCTGATGATTCCCATCCCAAAAGCTAAATAACTCTTCCTTGCAGACAGATTTTCATCAATAAACTCTTTCTAAATGTTACAAGTGCAACCTAAGAGATTTACTATTCATAGATGGACCATCACAAATTAAAAGATGTTTTCAAAAACAAGGGGAAAAAAAAAAAAAAAAAAAGAGAATGGTAACAATTTTCCACCATAACTTATCTTGGAGTTTTCAGCAACTTTGCAACGTTATACTGTGTCACTGTGATATCGTGAGATGAACGGCCAATAGCACAAGCACAAAAAAAAACTTGAGCACTTTTAAAGTACCAGATAAATAGATTTTATTTCGCAGCAGATGAAAACAATAGGTCTCATGATATGTGGTACAAGTTGATCTGGTATATTTTAATATTTACTTTGGAACCCTTCAAAAGATTTTTTTATTACACAGTTTCCAGCTGGTGCTCCAGAGCCAATAATTTTAGTGCTAGTCAGCCAAGATCAGTTGTCATTCAGCAATTAAATTTAAACACCAGTTCTGATGAAAAGGTCAGACTTGAAACAAAACTTTTTTTTTTCTCCACAGATGCGGAGAGACCTTCTGAGTATTTCCAGCATTTTCTAATTTTATTGGAAAAAAGTGAATGGCCATGATGAATTTTTGTTGTGACTGAATACAAATATTGGTAGAACTGCTCCACTGATAGAAGTGCAATGGGACTATTTACATACATGAGGGCTGGATTACAGTTAAATAATTTGTCCAAATGACAACACTTCAGGTAACGACACAACCAACCAACTAACCATCGAGTACAGCAATAAAATTTCATTCAAGAGATCGTGCCCATTGATTAGAGTAGTCCTTGAACTCAAATCTTTAAACGTTAGTGCTGAGAATGTTATCAACCCAGACAGAAATATTAACATTTTACACATATTCTTTCTGACTAGAAGTTAGTTTCCAATTAACTAACACAGAACCCTTCCCACAACACCATTTCAATGACTTCCCTGTTCTCCTTGCTACTGGCTTCATACAAAATGGCACAAGCATTAGCTTTTTTTTCCCCATTATACCAACAAGGAGCAGGGGGAGGCAATGGCCTAGTGGCATTAATTGCTGGACTGTTAATCCAGAGACCCAGATAACATTCTGGAGACTCAGGTTCAAATCCCGCCATAATAGATGGTGGAACTTGAATTCAATAAAATGTCTGGAATTAACAGTCTAATGATGACCTTTGTCAATTGTCATGAAAAACCCATCTGGTTCATTAACGTTCTTTGGGGAAGGAAACGGTCATCCTTACCTGGTCTGGCCTACATGTGACTCCAGCCGCACTGCAATGTGGTTGACTGTGAACTACCCTCTGGGCAATTCGGGATAGGCAATAAATGCTGCCTAGCCAGTGACACCCTTGTTCTGTCAAATGAACAAAAAACATGCTCTGATCTTGTTCCTCCTTTGCTCAAGGGCATGGAGGCTCGCTATAATGCATTTTCAACCAGTCTGGTAGCACTCAGACAAGGGATGATTCATTTACAATTCAACTACGCTGCGGAAAATCTACCAAAGTGAATCCAGAATTCAAAAATAAGACTGTGTCTTATTGTTTAAAGGGATTAGTAACAAAACTAAAAGGTATCCTGTTTCTGTTTTATAATCAACAATGTTATCTGAATTCATGCATGGAAAAAAGACTATTGTAACCTAAAATGAAAACTCAATAAATATAATGTATCCCCATCCTCATGTTCATGCTGACCTGTCTTTTTACATCTTTGCTTCTAAGAAAGTCAAATTAGGAGTTATGGTATCAACTGCATTCTTGAAAGTGGGGAGCAGCAGAAAAGATTTCTTGAAGTGTGAGGTCTCAGGAACCTGGATAATATTTTCCAAAACGTCAGGAAATTAAAAAAAAAAAATGAAAAATAACACTTTTACAAGTGTGGTTATAATTAGGTTTGAAATGATACATAAATGCAATCCACCAATCCCCCCACACCCTGAAAAAAAAATATCAATGGAACAGAACTAACACACTAATGACATAAAATACCCATGCTTAGAGCAACTCCAACCAATATTACTAAAATCAGTAGCCAAAGATGGCTGCAAAACAATATTTAATATAAAATAGACAGATTTACATTTATGGAACGTTCAGCAGAATATACACATCCTCCCATTATAATTGGACAAGCAAGAAAATTTTTTTTAAAACAATGTCAGTTACTTACTCAGTGTTAGAAGGCAGCAAGATCTGAATGTGAATTGCATTATACACCGATACCAAAGCTCATTAAGTTGTCATTCGCAAAACATCTTAGAAACAGCTAAAAGTTCAGTCTCTAATTTAATGTCAATTAAACTTCATAAAACATGGTATGCTCCAACTTCAGAAATAGATTACAACCCTGAACTGAAATCTTTGTGTATTGCTTCCTGTATAAATATTCTTAATATATTTGCAATGACTGTTTTACTATTAATCTTTAACATTCTAAGTTAAATAAATACACATCTATTTAATCACTGCTTATGAGTGACCCTGCGTCGCTAGAACAAGAATCTTATATATCTTGTTATTTTGTTTGCTTGGACTCTGGATCTTTTTCTAACTTCTTCTGCTTCATATGTTTATACTGCAAAACAAAATTTAAAAAAACAACAAAAAAAAAAGAAGAGGTTAAACAATGGATCTGAATAAAAACAGACATGCAGCTGACCCCAGTTCACTCCTTCCAGGAAATGAACACTGCAATTTTGAGTTCTTGTTCATCTCTCTGATGTATCTGACAGCAGACCAAGATCAGGAATGCTATGCAGAGAAACTCATTCAACACAAGTCTATAAACTAACTGGCAAAAAAATAAACTCATGGAATGTCAGCTCAGATTCTGCTGTCCTGTCCCTGTAATAACATGCAATTACAACATTTTCTGCTTTTATTTCTATCTTTCTCATGGTGTAACTTAAGCACCACCAAAAACTCATTTGTAGCATACAGAACCCACAGCAGTTGGTCGCATACATGGAAGCCCTCATGCTTTTCACGCAGAGGCCGCTTTTGGATGATCAGCCTTGTTCCTGGTAGTCCTAGTTGGCAAGTTCTTGATGAACTAGCACATAGTGAGACATCATGTAGGTTTCTTTTTAAATTAATTAATGGGAAGTGGGTGCCAGTGGTCAGACCAGCCATCACTGCCTATCCCTAATTGCCTTGAAGGCAGTTAAGAGTCAACCACATTGCTGTTTGTCTGGTGTCATATTTAGGCCAGACTAGGCAAGGACAACAGATTTCCTTTCCTAAAGGGCATTAGTAATCAGATGGGTTTTTCCCTGACAAAAAAGTGGTTTCACGGTCATCATTAGATACTCAATTCCACATTACTGAATTCAAATTTCACCATCTGCCATGCTGGGATTCAAACTCCAGTCCTCAGAACATCAGAGGAGTTTCCAGATTAATAGTTGAGCAATAATACCACTAGGCCATCACATCCTCAGTGTCCTGAGATGTAGCATCTAGAATTAAAAAAACAGGTGCCCTTGGAATGGACAACAGCGAATCAGAGTCATGACTCAAATGCTCCCTTTTATATTGCCAATTAAACATTTAATCACAAATGTAGGCAGTAAAGTGTAACAAAAAGAAGTGCGTATCCAATGCAATACAAAAACGGAGGATATTCATTTGTTAAATGAGAAGATTACACCATGGGAAAGAAGTGGATCTTTTCCCCACAATTAACCTTCATTCTCAGGACACAGGCATCTGAAATTCATTGTTTTATAATATGTCTTTGCTGGGTGGAGTACTGACCCTTGCTCCTGATGGCACACTATCAGTGCAAGAACACATTAATACATTATCTAGAAATACAGTGGCAAAATGAACAAAGCATACTTACTTTAGATAAGATCCAGTCAGCATCTTCAATTGCTCTTTTGATGATCTGTTTGATTCGTTCTGGATCATCTTCATCTGCGTGAACCTTAAAATTCTGCAACGTGTGAAATTACCCTTCATTAGGTTTTATTCACTGATTTCTTTAAATAGAAATGCAGTTGGGTAACAAATCCAACATAATTACGACATTAGTGACATCATTTTATTTACAGAGTTGGACTATCCCTGATATTAGTTGTCTCCTTAGCTGTAAAAGGCATTCAATGTCTTTCAAAACAGCAGTGTTTTCTATTCTAGACAAGATCTATTTCAGCGAATACGTAATACTTAAAAGAAAAAACAATTAACACTTTTTAAACAGTATCATTCTAAAATAAGGCATACCAGATAATAATATGAAGCCAAACTCTAAATTCACCCCATCTCCTCTCGGTTTAAGTACAAGTGTGAAGAAAGACAAAGATGATAAGGTCATAAGAACTGGAAGTAGGGGAATGCCATTTGGCCCATTGATTTCTCCATTAAATACAAGATCATGGCTGATCTGGTTGTGGCCTTAACTCCATTTTCTTGCCTGCTGTACATCATCTTTGATTCTGATCGACCAAAAATCCATCCAATTCAGCCTTGAATATATTCAATGACCAATCCTCCACTGCTCTCTGGGATAGAGACGACCAGAAATTAACAACTCCCAGAAAAGGTCACTTTTAAACTGTGCTCCTAGCTCTAGATTTCCCCCACGGCAGGGAACACCCTCCCAGCATTCATACTGTCAAAATATGGAGGAATCTTATTCAAACATATATGATCGCCATGCAGTATTCCAAACTCCAATGGGACTTGGTTCAATCTTTTGTAAGTCACAGAATAGTTTCATTGCAGAGGGTCATTTAGCTCATTGTTTTGACACCAGCTTTCTAAATGAGCGGTTCCTTTAGTGCCTTCCTCCCGCCTCCTCCTTTAACAGTCTTCCTTTTCTGCTAAGTCCAATTCCATTTTGAATGCTTCAAATGAACCTGCCTCCACCACACCCTCAGGCAGTTTATTCCAGACTTAAATCACACAACAGATGATTATTTTTTGCCTCATATTACTTTTGCTTTTTTGACACAAACCTTAAATTTGTGCCCTCTCATTCAATAGTTTCGCAAATAAGAGCAGTTTTTAAACTTACGGACTCATGATTTTGAATACCTCCAAATACTCTCTTTTGGAAGACAGTTCCAATATTTATAGATTTCTCTCTCTTGGAACCACTGTCATGAAACTTTTGGCTTCTCAGCAACACCTTAATATGTTCTTAACATACGCAGTTCCAAGAACTGGAGACAATACATCCTGATAAAAACATCTCACCCTTTCATTCCAAGAATCAGCTGAATGAATTTTCTCCAAAGTGCTTCTGATACAATATGTTCTTCCTTAAGGAGATCAAAACTACACACTACTGTAGGTGCGGCCTCATCCATGCCTTCTATTGTTATAGCATAACTTGTCTATTTTTTTAGGCAATATAGGCCAACATTCCATTTGTCGTCTTAAACACTTGCTGCACCTGCATGCTAAGTGATTCTTATACAAGGGCACCCAGATCCTTCTATACTGCAGCTTTCTGCAATCCTTCTCCATTTAAAAATTATATTCCACTTTTCTGTTCATCCTGCCAATATGAACAACCTTACAATATCACAATTATACTGCATCTGCCCACTTTTTGTTCACTCACTTAATCTAAATCCTTTTGCACACTTTTGTATTCTCCTCCTACTTGCTTTCCTACCTTTGTATCATAGCAAATCTGTAAACAAATAGGCCGAGCAGTCACTTCATTCAAGTTGTGAGTAATTTCTTGAAATAGTAGACTCCAGCGTGATCCCTTTACACTAGTTAAGTTTGCAAATTAAAAAAAAAAAAACCCATTCATCTCAACACAGCTGCTCTTAAGACAGCAAGAGCTGGAAAGATCCAGCAGATCTGGCAGTATCGGTAAAGGGAGAAAGAGAGATATTGGGCAGAGATTTCCCAACCCCTGGAACAACTTGAGCAATGGAAAGTCATTCAGGAAAATGGAGATTAGAGAAAAAGAAGATTCTTGACACTTAGGGAAAAAAAAAATAGTCCAATCTTCCATTCAAGTTCTGAATGGTGAGATGAGAATGTCACTCAGAGCCTGAATGTCTCATTTGTACTTAATTTTACCTAATTTCTATGAAATTTCCTATTTTCCCATGTTGAAGAGAAAAAAAAACTAGGCTGACAACTACCAACATGAAAGTTAGGGCAGGTATCTAGCAGCTGCAGCTCGTCACTTGCTTCTCTGGGCCTCTATTTTGAACAGTAGTCCCAAACATCTCAGGATAAACAGGGCCCACCCTGAGCACAACTACCTGTCCAGAGGTTGGCACTGATTATGCAACAACCTCACCACATGATGATCAATCCATTTAGAATACAATTCTTTCCTTCAAAAGATCTATTTTGTAGTGCACTGGTAACGCTCATTGCGATGCTGATGCCAGGCCACTGTGTGCAGACACAAACACCTATCACATGCAGTGGAGCAGAGAGCATCTCAGAGCTCTTTGCTCACTCTCTTAGCACTCATTCAGTTTGCACCTACTTGGATACTCTTAGCCTTGTGTTGCCTTTTTTGGGCTTTACTCATTTACAACTTACAGGATCACAGTAAGTATGTCCGAGCTAAAAGTCAATGCAAGACAAACAGTTAGGAAGTCTGTTATGGTTGTCAGCATTGATCAATCAAGGAGGCAGATGTGTTCCACACAACATCAATTCCACACCTACAGCACCTGCCAGCAGCCTGTGCGACAAACACACTGCGTGTTTCAGGAAAATGGCATTGCCTCCAAGTCTAAGGGGGTGTAGTCCTTAGTCAAGGGGGAAATTCAGTCAGGAAATAGGTTAAGGGCAGCATCCATAGGCAATCCAGGCATTAAGACATGGCCTCTTGTAGCAGTCACGGCCAGGGCCTCTGTATCATTGCAGTCCTGGGAATGGGACACACCCAATCCTGCTGATCTGATACAACCAGTTGGTGGGCGGCATGGTGATCAGCCAGGGGTGTCATTCCAAGTCAGTCAGGGGAGGAGGTAGGGCCACACTCAATTCTACAGGTCTGCTTACTGAAAGTCAAGAGGTTTTAAAATCAGGTCAGTGCTATGGTAGGGAAGTTGGAGATGTCAATACTTGGGTTTGAAAGCAACATACTGAGATTAAAAGTGGAGCAATAATTGTGAAGGGAGACAAATCAATACATGAAATAGTGGGAGATGCAGTGGTAGTATCCCTCAGTACTTAGCTAGGAGACTCTATGTGAGTCACATCTACTCCTGTCTGAACGGGCTGACGTTTTAAAAAAAGTCTTGAATAGTAGGAGACAATAGTACATTGAAGAACATGTTTTACTGTAGTGGGGTGGCATCATTAACAGTTACCAGCAACCTGGCTATAGACAGAAGCAGTGAAGGAGTGAAATCAGTGCAGCACATGGTTGGCATGGTCAAGCTGTGTGGCTAGGTTCAGTGGGTACATCTTCGGAGCTAAAGACATAAAAGAAAAAGTTGGGTGGGAATATACGGAAACTCATAACAGATGAGGTTGATGGGGATTGCAAGGGATAAAGGAACGTGAAGGTTTTGGAGTAAGAGGGACAGTCCTGCAACTCACTCTGCCCAACACAACCTGTGCTGCCTTCCATTCTCACTAGAGTCACAAATATAATGACAATGGAAAAATGTTTGCCAAAGTCAGATTGGGTGGAGTAAATTTCTTTTCCTCTGAGCACATAGGCTCTAGTTGTGAGTGATACAAGGCCCTTCATGGGGCAATTAGGGCACCTACATAGTATAGGTTAGAGACATCTGTACTCATGGTGACCTATATGCAGTGTCCACCTGTGGAGGCTATAAATCCTAGTCACAAGCAATCTTGACCATGTCATGACAGATTCCTCATAGCCATTTCTGAAGCTGAAGTAATCAGATTTGTGACCTTTTTTTAAAAAGGTCACATGTAAAAGACAATCAAGGTTCAAAGGATGAACAAGAGCTTGGATCCGATTTCCTCTCATTTTGAGCTGTAAGCATTGGAAAATATGCTCTTTTATTCATTACCACCTTTCCTGGGTAATGTGGCAGGTGAGGGGAGAAAACAAGGTTTCAGTAATTCTACTGCATTTACAATCTCCTATGATCTTGGTATAGCATGGCTCGTGTTACATACATAGGATTTAAAAAAAAAGCTCACTCTGTCAAAACTACATATACATGCAATCCACTGTCTGGAAGACTTTGCCAAATCTTCACTTGCAAGAGTTGACTGCTCGCGTTGCCAATAACTTGTTCTGTTGTTTTTGGTACTCCCAAAATCAAATTCATTGAAACCAAGGCCAAGGATCAAAAAAGAAAAAAAACTGGGGGTCATTTTTGCTGTGGCCACAATATGAACTGAAGGAATAGTGGTGTCAGCAAATTGGGACCAGCAGCAGTAAAACAGGAAACATATTTCTATCTCACTCTCCTGTCACACTATTTACTGCAATGATTTTTTTAAAAAGTCTCATTTAAATGAATTTCAAACACTTTAAAGACACCTGCCACCACTCTCAGGCCTCAGACAAAAGAAAAATGATAACTCCCCTTAACACAAGCATTATAAAAATACAAATTAATATTAAGCTATACGTCGTCTTGACCACTTTAAAACCTAAGTTTCCAAATAATAATCTATCCTGAACTTTATCATAATATAATCAACCTAAACAAGCTGCCTCTTTAAAAAATGCGTGACACAGTCATGATTTCAATCCTGCTGTTACACATGGATTTTCATATGGAGGAAGCTTTGTAACTGGATATGACTAACCAGAAGATGCCATTTGGTGATATTCATTTTAGGTTCACAAATAATACTTGTTTCACAATGTTTACTTTGTTTCCAGTTTTACACAAGGAAGCAAATGTCTAACTGGAGCTCTCCAGACAGCTCGAAGATCAAAAGGGTATCAATTTCTGTAATGGCGAGACTGTTCACTGACTTTCTCCTCTCAGACAAATGATTTTCTATCTCGTG